AATTTTAATAACTATTTCCAATTCCGCGTACAAAATATGGAAAATCTGCAATGCATTGAGCAGCATGTACTGCCACTATTGTACCCCCATGACCAGGATTCTGATACAAGTGATGTACATGTGTTTGATGAAAATGCCTGATTATTTTGCAAGATAGGAGGTATTTATTATGAATAAATGGGATTATCATTGATAAGGTATTGGGACACGTATTACAGGGTTATATACGGAGAATAAAAAAATAAGCCTATTTCAAAACTAAAGATGTGAAGCTGTGAAATGTTAGGCTAAAATAATTGGAAGAGACCAATCCATATTTAGAAGAGGTTCATCTAGTAACTGAATTAGGGATATCATAATCATTTATTATTTACAATTAAAGGAAATATTGTTAAGAATGTGATGGCACTGCTTTTTAAAAGCAAGAATGTGAATTCCTATTCTGCTTATACAACACTATTAAACTTAGGTTTCACTTTGTCCAAAATGGCAATCAATGTGACCATATAACAGTCATTTCTGATTATCTGCTTTTCAAAACAAAATGCATGTGTTTTCCAAAGCGCATACATCCTGACACATCCCTGTTTGAAGTAAAAGATAATTTCCATAATGGGTTTGTTTTAAACTAAAAGTACTAAATAACCAAATTATGATGGTTTTTCTGAAAGATTTCTATGAGGACAACCTATGTTGACAAAATATACTTACTGGCGCTGGCCGCTTTTGACAGTTATAAAAACGTTATTGTTTCTGTGCAGTTTGGTTTCTTCTCGCTTTTCCTCTTTTAATACGCCCCTACTCCCACTAGAGCATTTGCATGTTTGGTCATCCCGGCGGTCAAAGGAATAGACTTTCGATCTCGAGGGATCATCCATTTTCATTTGGTGGAGGTACACAGGGAGTTGTCCTGCTTCCCTTCCCTCTGTGATCTATCCACCAGAAGCATAGAATGAGAACCCAAGGCAGAGACATGGTTGCAGGCTACTCCAGCTCTGTAAAAGAATACAGGTCATTAAGTTTATTGCGTTCCAGTGTTAGGCAGAACCATATTACCCATCCTGGCCATTCAGTTCTTCCAATTATATATATATATAAACCAACAAAAAGTTCTTGTGACACGGATATTTTTAATGAATGCTAACTTTTGTATACAAATCAACAAAAGGGTTAACGGCACTATGACAGAGTATCCAAACGCATCTGTCAAGGTAATGTTTGCAAATCCTTAGCTAAGAAAAATGACTTTGTACTAGAAGATTTTGTAACTAAAGAATGTATTTAAGACTATGGATATTTAAACCTGGGTAAGTGGAGAGAATGTTTCAAAATTTACCTGATAAAGACACGTTGAAGGAGTGGAAACCTGAAAAACATCAAATTTCTCTGCAGAATTATAAACAATTGTTGTATGCCAAGGCTAACAGAAAATGAACGTTGGCGAGTTATTGGAATGCTCCGCAATCCAGTGCTACAACGAGATGTTTCAGTAATCCATCAGAAACACACGGTATGGAACTTGTGGCAGCGACACCAACAGACAAATCCGTCAGAGGGCCAAAGTCCCCGCAGTGAATCGCCCCGACGTCAGGATAACTGGATTCCACAGACACACCTCGGAACCGCTTCCAGCCAGCAGCCATCCCTGGAGAGAGGCGGATATCACAACAAATCGTTCGTCGACGTTTACGGCGTTTTGGGATCATCGCACGACGCCCATCAAGGACGGCCGATTTGACGTTACAACATCGCCGAAGCGACGTCTACAGTGGGCACGACAGCATGTGAGCTGGACTCAACGTCAGTGGAATCATGTCCTCTTCACAGTCTAGTCTAGATTTTCGCTTCACAGGAGCTGATGGCCGTGTGCGAGTTTTCAAATCGACGTGGCGAACGTTATGCTGACAATTGTGTCATGAAAATTGATCGGTTTGGAGGCGATAGCGTGATGGTCTGAGTGGAATTACGGTCATTTACATAGGGCCATTTTGATGAAACTACTCACCGGAACAAGACAACGTTTAGGGAGATAACTTTAAAATTATTTTATGAAGGGAGATAACATTTATTGGAAAGTCGAATGCTGTGATTTGGGCTTCCCAGGTGACAGGAGTAACCCGTGCTCACGTATCCGTTTTTGTTTTGCTTTTTATTATTACTATTCATGATGAACACAAAAAATGTGCCTGGTATAAATTTGTATTTACAGTTTCGATAAAAATTGTTAGATCCGGATGTTTTCAAGCGTTTGATTCGAAGAGACATTGGTTCCAGATGAAAAGGCTCACTATCAAAGGGTAGATGGTAGTATTAGTTTATCAGATCACTGTGCTTGGGTTATCACATCCGAAGGTAAAGGTTAGATACCCTCACCGGAGTAAAGGGATTATGGCGCAGCCCCAGTCTCAGGAATTTTATAAAAGCCTTGCAAAGAACCACAGCCAGGAATTTCAGATCGGTTATCATCATTACTTGAGTGCTCGCATTGCTCTTCTTTAAAATCAGCTTGTATTGCAAATTCACCTCTGGTGAAGCCAATACAATGTAACAACCTACCCACGTGAGGGGAGACATAGTCTTCTGTCTCCAAATGTTGTTAACCCAGTCAAAGATGGGTAACTCTGCACAGTTAAAAAAAGGCAAAACGTTGCAGCCTCGAGGCAACACGTACAGAACATAATGCAACAGGGTTCAGCGGACACGAAAACAAGATTAATCTCAGCCTAACCCTTATCTTTGCACATGTGCAGAAGAGTTCCAAATAATAATGAACTTTTCAGACGAGTACAAGACTCAGGCATGGTGGTTTTAAGACGACCCGAAACTTGCCTTGCAGAAGTTCCTTCCTTAAAGCGTGCTTAGAAACATATTAATCTGTGTTTCGAATGGTTATGTTTGTGATAGCCTTCTACGACCGAACCACACCCTTGAAGAGAAGGGTTTATTGGTACTGATTTAATGTTGAAAGCACGTCCATGAAACAAAAGGACGGCGTGATCGAAGTACACTACTTACATTACTGACCTTCTGAGCGTGTGCAGATAATGCATTGGTAGGGTTTGTGTCTGCGTACATGTATCTAGACGCCTCCTGTACAACACCCTAACTGTCACCTCTCAAAGGTAAGACAGTTAGTCAGTTCGATAGATTTTTGGCTTCTTATACGAAAAGCGTGTCCAACGTGATGTGTACAGATTTCAAGCTGGAGAAGTGATGGGTACAGATTGAACCTTGCGTTACTGCCTCCTGGATTGTTATCACCACCTGACGATATAGGATGCTATAGACCCTTGACAAAGTGTGATACCATGAGATTCTACTGGCAGAAATGTTTACTTTGTTGGTTTTCGCTATTTTAAGCATATGAAATGTGTCAAATGTTCTGTTTAAAGTGGTTCATGAATTATTACATGTGAACATCAAGTGACTTCTTAGTTCCCTATCAACGAATTAAATGAAATATGGTGGTTTAAGACGATACGAGTTACTGCACTGTACGAAATTTTGACATTGAAGCGGAAACGTATTGTCGTGGGTTGTGATGATGTAAGGAGAGGCACCATGTTTTGAAAACCAAATTTGCCGTTCTTGGGTATTATTATAATTTCCCGACCTTCATGAGATTTATATCATTTCGCAACCTCCCCATGAAAGAGATTATATAGCAGATGTAAATGGTGGAGACTTCCTGTCCTTCTCAATCAGTATCGTATTATACATTACTAAGCGCAGTGACTGCCAATATGAGGAACGCGAAGCATTTTTTTTTCCTGCTTTAGGATTTTCATACCAATGAGGAAGAACTGTTGTGCTGATACATAAATTTGCTTGCATCTGTGACAACCTAGAGGTGGAGTGATCAAAATACATTGTTTGCAGCAGATCCTACTTTTTTAGTTGTTAGTCTACACATTCCATTTGAATTATTCATACTGATTCAATTTCATATAGATGGAACGAAAGTCCAGTTAAAGTGAAGAAAAGTGTATGTATAGGGTGTATGGAGACACCTTCAACCTTCGCCAACTTTTAAGACTTTTCTTTCTGTTAAACCCTAACTGTAGCAAATGTTATGTTTGAGTGGTACCTAAATTACTTGTTGTGGACCGCCTCCGTGGTGTAGTGTTAGAGCGTCCGCCCGGAGAGCGGAAGGTCGCGGTTTCGATCCCCGACCGTGTCATACCAAAAAGACGTTAAAATATGGTACTTGTTGGTTCCCTGCCTGGCGCTCGGCATTAATGGGTACAACAAGGACTGGTCGGCTCGAGTCAGTATAATGTGTCTGAGTGGGGTATTTGTGCTTCACTGAGGCATGGTATCTCAGTGGGCTAGCACTATAAAACCAGCTTCAGTCTTGGCTAGTACAAGCAGCCGCACGTACACATACAAACGCATGCACGTCGTCATATGAGGGAAATATTCTCAAGCACGACGTAAAACCCAAAATTTCACCTCACCTCACTTGTGAATGTCGACCGTCAACAGGTTAATGATCTAGGTCAACCTGGTCTACCCCAAAGATAGATTGACACATGGAAAGTTCATTATAGTTAATTAAGCGGAAATGGTGTTACCAATAGCTTGACCCTTCATTAATGACGCCGAGAATAGATTTTAGAAGCGCAGTGCCCGAGAAGGACAGCACGTTATGTAAATATGAAACCAACAAACAGTACAATACATGAACAGTGATTATAGCAATAAGGACGCTGATGGAAATACTCACTTCACTGTAACAATGGTCTAGTATCCAAACAGCATATTCAACGTAGGATTTGATCTCCACACAGATGCTAGTCTTTTTTGTAACTTGGAATGTAATGTTAGATAAGAAGCAAGAGTTAGCTCCCCTTACATAGCTTTGAAAAGGCTACCATATCTTTTATAGTTTTCTCAGCATTAGAGGAGGGTTGTGGTACGTAGCATTGCTCACGTCTAAATATACATTACACCACTGTCTCCAACTGCCACACAACAATGATGATTATGTCTCTTGCCAGACAAACATGTCGGATCTTGTCTCAGTGGCTGAATTCAAGGACCTTCTGACAGAGTGTCCAATATGCACAGAACACTTTGACGAGGAAAGACGAATACCTCGTCGTATGCCATGCTGTGTCCAGTCCATATGTCAGCCCTGTCTGGGCACCTACAGTGGAGGCAAGACAACCATACGCTGCCCCATGTGTCGACACCAACATAACCTGCCTGGTGGAGTGAAATCTCTGCCCAAAGAGACAGTCATCCTGAAGACTCTGGACTACCTCAAAATCCAGAAAGGTCTTCATCTTCCATGTACAGACTGTCCTGACAAGGAAACAGCTCAAGCCCAGTGTGACAACTGTGGGGTATTTCTCTGTTCTATCTGTCTGAATGCCCACAGGAGGAATGTAACAACAAAGACACACACAATAGTTACCTTTGATGAGATGAAGGGCGACCTGTGCAGAGTTTCCGCCGTCGACATCAAAGGGAAGGGACATAAAGTTGTGTCTGTGGATGAGGCACACCAAGAACTCTCGAAATCCACAGAATATGTTTGTGAAGATGAATGTGAATTCAGAGACGTTGAACAAAGCAGAAGCAGAATTAATGAAGAAGTTAGAAAACATCCAAATGTCCAAGAGGGTTGCCATAGACGATATTAACAAAACCTTTGACACTCTGACCAATGAGCTGAAGCAACGGAGGGCTGCCCTCTTGTCAGATGTTGAAGATAAATCTACTCAGAATCTTCAACTGACAAAGGAGACTCTGGAGGCAACAAGATTGTTGCAGACTAGAGTAAAATCTTCTACTGACTACACAAAACTAATGAGAAGTAAAGCTGATAGGATAGAGGATCTTCAGGTGATGCCTCATTGAACTCTTTGTTGGAGGAGACTTGGAGCTGTATCTTTGTCAGGACTGGTGTGCACTTTGTCGAGGCAAATATACATTACTTCGTGAGAGTATCAAGGCAGCTGGAATGGTCAGGTCAGTCACGTTCTCCCCAACAGAGAGGTAGAAAAATGTGCCAGATTCTAAAGCATACAACGCCATCATACTGGAACCAGCAGAGTCACCTTCTGGTAAGTAGTAGAAATCTAGTTCATAACTTGCTGATGGTATGTAAAATGTAATGTGATTTGGTCAATCAATCTGAGACGTGTGTGAGTGAGCGTGTGAGTGTGCGTGCATATATGTAGGTATGCACAGATGAATGAATGGATGCATGTGTGTTCGTCTTTGTGTATCTCTTTGTATGTCACCCTCTGCTGTTTGTGCCCCAGTTGACTCAAATGCTGCAGTTCAGTTCGTAGTTTGGATCCTGTCCCGTGATAAATTCACAGCCATGAAAATGATTTGTATCAATTATGAATGTTAATATTTACACAGGTCCTATGCTGGAATGGGACCCAGGAACAGCTCAGTGTGATATAAGCGTATCTAGGCGGGTAGTCACCAACACTCAACCAACAACCCCTTCTCCTGATACAGGTTGTCGGATAAAAGAAATCAGATCAGTTATGGCGTCCAGACCTCTGATGGTCCGAACCAGCCCCGGTGAACAGTGCCTCTATCAACTAAACCTTGGGTTCTCTGTGAAGGGAAGTATGCCAGACAACAAAATGTTACTAGAGACTGTCCTGACCCCACGCCAGAAGATGCTCCCTTCAGTCAACACACCGGAATGAATGTACGTGTGTCATGTGCCAACCACAAGCAGAAGCTGTGTCTGCAGATTAACTATAATAAAACTTTCCTCAAAGGCATCCCCCTCACTGGGAACAGAGGTGGCCAGTCTTATGACCTACGACTGTGTTTTTGTTCTGGATGGAGCTAACAACAAACTGTCAGTTATCAATGCTGCTGATAACACAGTGTACACCGCTGTCACAGAAGTAGATTTTGACAGACCCATGTGGGTCATGATGTATGTTGTCAATCCCGACTATGCAGATATAACTGGAGAACTGGTGTCAGGCCACAACGTCACAGGATCCTTCAACGACTACAATCGCTAGAAAAGTCTTCATCATCATATTAAGCTCTTCATGTACCCAGGCCATACATTGATTGTCTGAGGGTCTTGGGTATGTTGCACTGTGATTCTGCATACGTTAAATGTCAGGGTGTGTGTTATTTAGATCACAATTAATCTGAATTACTGACAACTTATACTATCATACTATTTTCATTGTAGTTTGCGTTCGTAGATACGGGATCCATTTGTAGTGAATCATTACCTATTTTTGAGTGGTTCTTGTGTTAGTGAAGTTCTATATGTTCTTACAGTACTAGTTTTCTATTCCTGAGTTTTCACTTAACGTATAGCATGTCATTGTCATGTTTATTATTACTTAAGTCTAAAGTAATGTGTCTATGTTTCCCTGGTCTCTTCACTTCATAATGGGTTGATGCATTGCCAACACAGTGTTAGTACTCACGATTCTCCTCACATATTGCATAAATGTATTTTAAGAATTTATTTGGAAATCCAAAGAAATATATGTAGCAAAGAATGATTTCTGGAAATTTTCTTTGTATCCACAACGACACAAAACTATTTGTATCAAACTACTGATATATAAATACTCATGTTATGTATATGTTCATGTTCAACATGTTGACAACGCCTATATGTGGCCTGTCCAATTCGACATCGACTACCTGTTATTGTTGTTAGGGGCGGTGGGGTAGCCAAGTGGATAAAGCGTTGGCTCGTCATGTCGAAGACCCGGTTCCGAATCCCCACATGGGTACAATGTGTGAGTAACACTTCTGGTGTCACCCGCTGTGATGTTGCTGGAATATTGCGAAAAGCGTCGCAAAACCAAACTCACTCACTCACTATTGTTGTTAACCTCTGTCACTACCTACCATGCACTTATACTTCTCATCACCTCGTCACTTTTGGCTTGACAACGGTGTAAAAATATTGTGAGATATATTACATGCTTTGGTATCAACAAATGACTTAAGATATCGTAAAATAATGAATAAATAGTAAAAATTCATCTATATATTTACACTTTTTGGTTGCATCAACAATTTCTCCATTTTTAGAAAATGGCAAGTCAAGATTAACCCTGGTACGTAGTGCGTGTATATCTGTCTTTATCATCGTTAAGTTTGTCTAGTTTTAAATGTATAATGCATTTTATCGTACTTATGAAAAAATGACACGTCATCTTAAAATACATGTATAGTGTATACATGTTGCACACCGATACTTACATTTGTGTTAGCACAGAATATCTTTACCCCATTCATTACCATTTAACTGTATACCGTCAGATGTAAAGTTTACAATCACAATCACAACACAGATTTCATATACACTAACTTTCTGTGGTACTATAGGCTTGAATGCAATTTACCGGAGAGCAACCATCCCACTATAGCCCGGCCGGTGTCTCGCTGCATCTTTAGAGGCAGACAACCATTAAGCATGCTTTGGGTCCTGACACGTCTTTATACACAATCCTTTAAGATCTCTAAGGTTTGGGATTATTACTGTCAGCGTTTAAGGTTCGGGTTCGGCTTTAGGGTATTTTGTTGGGTTGTTTTTGCTTAGGGGTTAAGTGTTTAGGTCAGTGTAATCTTAATATATTCAATTTGAAACACGTTTCATCCTACCAGGAGTCATCAGGGTAGTCTCATGTTAATTGCTGTCATTGGTTGTATTAGTTTCATTGACCAAAACACGTCGGAAGGCAGCTCCAAAGTTGTGGCTTCACCCGTGTTTCTATGCGACACAGTGGTGGATCACTTGAACCAAGTGTAGGTCGATCAACCCACATCACAGCATCCCGATGTCCCGGTATTCCACAAAGTACAAGCTGTACCCAGCCTACTGGGTTCCAGAGTTGGAGAGACCAGAATTCAGGTTGACTCTATTGTGTTGGTATGAGCACCTGTGTTACGGTCTTTAGAGGTCTCAGAATGGTTTGACTGTCAGGTGCGTGTAGCCAAATATACAATATCTAATACTTCTCTTCGATGTCACTTGTTTGTATAACAATAAACTAAATACACGTATCTAAAGCATTTCAGGATTATATTACCCCTATTTATCTATTTGTTTCAGCTGTTTCACAGCAGTGTCATGTCCACTGGTTAACTGAGATAAACAACAATAAACAATCACTACAACAACGTCTATATCTGAAAACCTACGTATAAAACAATTTTGACAAATCTACATTAGCACGATGAAAGTGATTACTCAGTCAAAGTTTTATCAGTTAATCCTTTGATTGATCAAATCTTTGAAGGGCATTTAGAAGTGGAATACATAAGAAAAGTAAGATGTATGTATGTCAACTTCTTTATTGTGGGGAGGTGATCAAATTACCCTCCTTAACTTAAATCGATCATTGGTGCGATCAAAACTTGAATATGGTTCCATCGTATATGCTGGTGCCTGCAAAGCAACCTAAAATTACTTGATTCTGTCCATCACCAAGTTTTAAGACTTTGTCTTGGGTCCTTTAGAACCTCTCCTGTTGACAGTCTCTTCGTTGAGGCAGATGAGCCATCTCTTACACAACGCCGTATAAAACAGTCCTTGCAGTATATAACAAAACTTTATTCTAACGAGTCATACCCCGCATTTAACTGTGTCTTTACTCCGCTTTATGAGGATGTGTACAACAAAAGCCTTCACTTGTTCCGCCTCTTGGTTTAAGAATTAAACCATTCATTTCTGCTGTCGGCATTGAGCTGGAAAATATATATCTCCTTCCCGCCTTCTCTCTTCTCCTCCTTGGCAACTAGTCAGGCCTGAAGTTGACCTAACTCTGACAAAGTTTAAGAAATGTGAAACTAATGAATTGCAATATAAACAAGAATATAATCAATTAAAAATAAGTATAATACATACAAATTCTTATTTACAGATGGGTCCAAGGATGGTGGCGCGGTGGCATGTGCCACTGTCATTGGATCCAGAACAATATCTTGTCGACTACCAAACAACAGCTCTATTTTAACAGCAGAAGCAAACGCCATATTAACAGCTCTTAAATATATATATTAACACCGTAAATATAAACAATACATAATCTTTTCCGATTCTCTTTCGTGTTTTCAGGCTATTAAAAATCTACTTGTAATTACTTTTATTACTAATTATTGAATTGTATAATGAGCTTGCAACTGGCCAATGCGAAATCGTCTTTTGTTGGTCACCCAGCCACTTTGGCATTTCTGGGAATACAATGGCCGATCTTGCTGCCAAGGCAGCACTCATTAAATCTGTGACACCACTTCTTATTCCATACTCTGATTACAAAGCAACCATTAGAACATACATCCGTGATCTAATACAAAGAAGTGGGACACCCAAGTAGCTAGGTATCAATAAATTGCATGAAATAAAACCCTATATTGGTTACACCTACTTGGGTTGTCAGTCCAGATTTGAAGAGGTCATCATACGACGATGTCGTATTGGCCACACAAGATATACTCATGAGTACCTATTGAAAGGTGAGGATCCTCCGTTTTGTATCCCTTGTGATGAGACAACCACGGTCAAGCACATCCTGCTTGACTGTGTTGAATTCTCCATCATAAGGGATAAATATTTCAATGTGAGATCAGTAAAGGACCTTTTTAATAATGTTAATTATCATTTAATCATTGATTTTTAAAAGAGATAGAATTGTTAAATGAATTTTGATATATGTTTTGTAAATAGATAACGTTTTATAATTGGTAGTTTAGATTATCAACTTCGATTGTTAGTGGCTGTGCCCTCAAAGGGGGTTGAAGTATTGTAAAATTATTGTCCTCCTGAGAGGGTACGTAAGTCCCAACACATTTAAGTAAATTTAAACTTGCCACCTTTTTAATCGTAGAATATGTGTGCTTTTAATTTATGGCTAGATTTCTCTTCCATCACCAATGGCTGAAGGGATGATGTAAATCCAGCTAGGGTCCATGCAGGTAGCAAAGGTACTGTAAGTCCCCATGGACCCTAGTATGGTGATCTATCTTCAGTTGTTGGCGATCTATAGCTTATTTTTATATTGTGTTGTTCCCTATAGTTAAAACGTTTTAGATTTACTTACTAGTTTTACATATATATCTGTGATATTCTAGTTGTTTTACTGTCCTTCGTCGGCAGGCTTTTTATAATATACATATATTTCATTTCAATATCAAATGTTCTCGTCACGATATGGCTGAAATATTGCCGATGTGACGTTAAATATTAACTCACTCACTCTTTATTGTGACTAACACTACGTTTTGGAGTGTATGCTTGCTCCTTCAAAACGTCGTCTTATTCACAATAAAGATGTAGACATCCATAAATCATGCTTTCCTGTAATTGATGTTTATTGAAATTCAGTTTACCATTGCTTTCTTGCGGTGCTGTCACGTGCATAATACATTCACAACTTCAACCATTTTGTGACTCGATCCTAGATTGAAACCAGGCATGAGAAATGCTAAATGCGAACCACCGATTGCTATATATCCTTGAAAGGAACAGAAACAGGGGGTGAGCTTTTTGTGCATAGTGTAGGTAACCCGAGTGCCGTCACCACTAATTCATTCTTGTAATAAATGCATTGACTGAGTATCAAATACAGGTTCACACCCATTATGACTACCCACAGTTTGACTACCCGTCCAATACACAACCTGTTCCAGTCAAATGTTTTAATTACTAGCTCTCTCCGCTCCATCAGGTAGACTGTTCCACCATAATAATATACAAAAGGTATACAGATTTCATGTAATATTTATTAGCTCTGTTTCCATCAGTAAGCATTAGGATGGGAGCACTCCCAAAGTCTACTTTACGTCTTTGTGAATTACAATGTCTCACTGCCCCTCCTCCTGTTCAGGGGCGGTGGGTAGGCTAGTGGTTAAAGCGTTGGCTCGTCACGCCGAAGACCCGGGTTCGAATCACCACATGGGTACAATGTGTGAAGCCCATTTCTGGTGTTCCCGCCGTGATGTTGCTGGAATATTGCTAAAAGAAGCGTAAAACAAACCTCAGTCAGTCCTCCTGTTGACTATTTGTATCAGATATCATGTCTTCATTATCATCTTCAATCAGTTCTTCCACCCAAGATTTACATTTGTACAGTTCTGAAAACACTTCATAATACATAGTATTCGTGTCTTGTATTTGCTTCAGTACTACACCACCTCCCCACCCCTGCATATGATACAGATACATAATTAAGTCACACAGACCTTTGAACAACACACCAAGTGCATCATAAAAGACGTCTCTTTTCTTCTCTGCTATTTACCCAGCTTTACAACATATGTCAATTTTCAAAACAAACAACCTGTACAAACAAATGAATGATCACAAGATCCCTGATTCACTTAGCTTCTAATGATTCAAATACGAGTAGTTCCTGGGAGCCTCCCTACTAGGTTTATTTCATAGGGTAGACAAACTGGTAATCAACTATACAGGTACAGTACATTATTAAGCATATGGGTGCTATGTTATGTTCATGAGTAGACAAAATTGGAGAAGTCATACTGGGAGTAGTCATAATTCGAAGATACACAAATAAATGACGGCAAGTATTTATATGACATGCATGACAAGAAGAGAGTAGAAATTGTCGTATGCAATTGGCCTTGGTGTCGGTGTACAAAGCGATCTTAACGCTAAGTTGATCCAAGTCCCACATCTTAACATACCTTGTAAGGATGGGAAAGCCGCAATAACTCGGTGAGCCTTGAGAGTTGAGATTGATAATAAGATGTGCCGTTGAGATTGACATCCAATGATTGAGGGGAAAAAATACCAGCGCCTTGAGCATGCGCTAGTGCGTGGATATAAATGTGCGCTATATAAATATCCAATACTACTAGTAATAATAATAATAATAGACGTAAGGTATCTCAGCGCTAAGGTTGTTTTGTACAAGGGCACCCTGAAGTAGTAAGAGTCGTCGCTGCTTTGAGAACATTGAATGAACGTCATTGCTGCAAAAATACTACGTACACGGTATGCGAAATTTGCAAGGTGAAAGGTTTATGCAAGCATAATCTTATCAAATATGAGAATTTAAGGCGATTCCCTTGGTTTTCAACGAGGAACTCCCTTGGTGGTCCGAAACTCATTCTATTGGGCAGCTGGTACTAACTGGCACGCGGTGATTAGCCGAAGTTGGAGTTTTATTTCACTAATTGCAACATGATCATCAACACTATGTAACGTATCGGGGCAACAATATGTATGATATTTATTACTAAAAAGAGCATCATGAGAGATATGGCATAATTTACGGTTGTTTCTTCTCGTTGCGTTTTACTACAATATCTTTCCAGCGGAGTGGAATTGTTAATGAGACGGTCAACCAGCATTATGTAAGGTGTAATTGCAACAATATGTGTAACAAGTAAAAGTATGAGACGAATTCAGCAACAAAATGCATCCGATAATCAACAGTGCGTGACGTTTGTAGTGCAACAATGTGCATGTTGATCAGATCATGTTAGGTATCCAGTACAACAATGTGCATGTTGATCAGATCATGTTAGGTATCCAGTACAACAATGTGCATGTTGATCAGATCATGTCAGGTATCCAGTACAACAATGTGCATGTTGATCAGATCATGTCAGGTATCCAGTACAACAATGTGCATGTTGATCAGATCATGTTAGGTATCCAGTACAACAATGTGCATGTTGATCAGATCATGTTAGGTATCCAGTACAACAATGTGCATGTTGATCAGATCATGTTAGGTATCCAGTACAACAATGTGCATGTTGATCAGATCATGTCAGGTATCCAGTACAACAATGTGCATGTTGATCAGATTATATGATGTATCAGGTACAACAACATGCATGATTATGAGATTATGTGCAGTAAAACTTATGATAATCACAGTGCATCCAGTGCAACAATATGCATGTACATGGAGGCCACTTTTATGTTCCAGATGATTTCGTGGGGATTCACGAATTGTATATATTCGCAATGTAGTTAAGAATATATACAACGTGTCATGTTATTGTGACACAAAAGTGATGTTTGTGGGTGTTTACCTCTGTGGTGAATGTCATAAATGGAGAAATGGGTCAATCCAACCAATGATCACAATCAAGACGAAGTCGAAGCTCCAGGTTGAAGGGAGACAAGTCTACACTGCTAAATCTCAACATGGTGGAATTGAATGTAGCCAAGTCTCTCTTGGCCAACATATAGCAGATATTGTGTAAACATTCTTTCATCGCGTATTTACTGTTTGAAGTCAACGAGACACACACACACACACACACACACACACACACACACACACACACACACACACACACACACACACACACACACACACACACACACACACACACACACACACACACACACACACACACACACACACACACACACACACACACACACACACACACACACACACACACACACACACACACACACACACACACACACACGAGGTGACCACTTACTATCTGAGGATATGGGTGAGGACCCAACGCTACCCCTTCACCCCTAGCCGTTAATGCAATCTGTGGGCGTCAGCGAGCACAACTACGCACAACCACGAATAGTTGACACCGCTTTAAGGATTTAAACTTGGGGGAACGGTATTGAGAAATCCTACACGAAACTGATGTCATATATACACCCTTTACGCATACCACAAACTAAACTAAATATCATCTTAAGATTGTCGACATTCAGTGTGCAGTTTTGTGTGTCTTCATGGTTTGTGGGTTCGAATCCCGGTTGACCAAATTACGTTGAAAGGTTTGTCTGCACCATACCCTGCACGTGGGTTTCACTAAAGTGATTAACGTCTGAAACCTTTTAAAATAAATAAATGTAGACGGAGAAAGAAACATGCCTCATCCCTACCACATTCTCACAGTAATAAAAGCACCAAATCCCATTTCATGTTCATAAGAAATCTCTCCCCAAAGCAGAGTCGATATGAATACTTCATTAGATGCCGGAACATATGAACCAAATGCACGCCTCTAAAAGTTGGGGCGGCGGTCAGCCTAGTGTTTAAAGCATTCGCTCGTCACGTGGAAGACCCGGGTTCGATTCCGTACAATGGGTACAATGTGTGAAGCCCATATGTGGTGTTCCCCGCTGTGATATTGCTGGAATATTGGTAAAAGCTTCGTAAAACCATAATAGTTCATTTTCTCACTCTAAAAAGACGGTTAAAGTATCTAGGTGCTGGGTCTGTGGCTGCTGTTGCCCCTGGGTCACTCCAGAAGGGACCACATCCATGTCAGCCCCACTGGATCAGACGGGAGGTCGGGATCAACAACAGTTCAGTAGGTAATAGTGGCATCCCATAAACCACATCCATGTCGGCCCCACTGAATCAGACGGGAGGTCGGGATCAGCAACAGTTCAGTAGGTAATAGTGGCATCCCATAAACCACATCCATGTCGGCCCCAAGGGATCAGACGAGAGGTCGGGATCAGCAACAGTTCAGTAGGTAATAGTGGCATTCCATAAACCACATCCATGTCAGCCCCAAGGGATCAGACGGGAGGTCGGGATCAGCAACAGTTCAGTAGGTAATAGTGGCATCCCATAAACCACATCCATGTCGGCCCCAAGGGATCAGACGAGAGGTCGGGATCAGCAACAGTTCAGTAGGTATTAGTGGCATTCCATAAACCACATCCATGTCAGCCCCAAGGGATCAGACGGGAGGTCGGGATCAGCAACAGTTCAGTAGGTAATAGTGGCATCCCATAAACCACATCCATGTCGGCCCCAAGGGATCAGACGAGAGGTCGGGATCAGCAACAGTTCAGTAGGTATTAGTGGCATTCCATAAACCACATCCATGTCAGCCCTAAGGGATCAGACGGGAGGTCGGGATCAGCAACAGTTCAGTAGGTAATAGTGGCATCCCATAAACCACATCCATGTCAGCCCCAAGGGATCAGACGGGAGGTCGGGATCAGCAACAGTTCAGTAGGTAATAGTGGCATCCCATAAACCACATCCATGTCGGCCCCAAGGGATCAGACGAGGTCGGGATCAGCAACAGTTCAGTAGGTAATAGTGGCATTCCATAAACCACATCTATGTCGGCCCCAAGGGATCAGACGGGAGGTCGGGATCAGCAACAGTTCAGTAGGTAATAGTGGCATCCCATAAACCACATCCATGTCAGCCCCAAGGGATCAGACGGGAGGTCGGGATCAGCAACAGTTCAGTAGGTAATAGTGGCATCCCATAAACCACATCCATGTCGGCCCCAAGGATCAGACGAGAGGTGGGGATCAGCAACAGTTCAGTAGGTAATAGTGGCATTCCATAAACCACATCTATGTCGGCCCCAAGGGATCAGACGGGAGGTCGGGATCAACAACAGTTCAGTAGGTAATAGTGGCATCCCATAAACCACATCCATGTCAGCCCCAAGGGATCAGACGGAAGGTGGGGATCAGCAACAGTTCAGTAGGTAATAGTGGCATCCCATAAACCACATCCATGTCAGCCCCAAGGGATCAGACGGGAGGTCGGGATCAGCAACAGTTCAGTAGGTAATAGTGGCATCCCATAAACCACATCCATGTCGGCCCCAAGGGGATCAGACGAGAGGTCGGGATCAGCAACAGTTCAGTAGGTAATAGTGGCATTCCATAAACCACATCTATGTCGGCCCCAAAGGATCAGACGGGAGGTCGGGATCAACAACAGTTCAGTAGGTAATAGTGGCATCCCATAAACCACATCCATGTCAGCCCCAAGGATCAGACGGGAGGTCGGGATCAGCAACAGTTCAGTAGGTAATAGTGGCATCCCATAAACCACATCCATGTCAGCCCCAAAGGGATCAGACGGGAGGTCGGGATCAGCAACAGTTCAGTAGGTAATAGTGGCATCCCATAAACCACATCCATGTCGGCCCCAAGGGATCAGACGAGAGGTGGGGATCAGCAACAGTTCAGTAGGTAATAGTGGCATTCCATAAACCACATCTATGTCGGCCCCAAGGATCAGACGGGAGGTCGGGATCAACAACAGTTCAGTAGGTAATAGTGGCATCCCATAAACCACATCCATGTCAGCCCCAAGGGATCAGACGGAAGGTGGGGATCAGCAACAGTTCAGTAGGTAATAGTGGCATCCCATAAACCACATCCATGTCAGCCCCAAGGGATCAGACGGGAGGTCGGGATCAGCAACAGTTCAGTAGGTAATAGTGGCATCCCATAAACCACATCCATGTCGGCCCCAAGGGATCAGACGAGAGGTCGGGATCAGCAACAGTTCAGTAGGTAATAGTGGCATTCCATAAACCACATCTATGTCGGCCCCAAAGGGATCAGACGGGAGGTCGGGATCAACAACAGTTCAGTAGGTAATAGTGGCATCCATAAACCACATCCATGTCAGCCCCAAGGATCAGACGGGAGGTCGGGATCAGCAACAGTTCAGTAGGTAATAGTGGCATCCCATAAACCACATCCATGTCGGCCCCAAGGGATCAGACGAGAGGTCGGGATCAGCAACAGTTCAGTAGGTAATAGTGGCATTCCATAAACCCACATCTATGTCGGCCCCAAGGGGATCAGACGGGAGGTCGGGATCAGCAACAGTTCAGTAGGTAATAGTGGCATCCCATAAACCACATCCATGTCAGCCCCAAGGGATCAGACGGAAGGTCGGGATCAGCAACAGTTCAGTAGGTAATAGTGGCATCCCATAAACCACATCCATGTCAGCCCCAAGGGATCAGACGAGAGGTGGGGATCAGCAACAGTTCAGTAGGTAATAGTTGCATTCCATAAACCACA